GTGGTCTCTACTTCTTATCCTGATGGACGTTAACTTCCCTCAGGCAGGGATTCTTAAAAAGAACGATCAGATTGGTTTTGTGAAGAGTTTTGTTTCATTTTCTATTATGCGCGAGTATAAGAAGCATATCTAATTAAAATACTTAATTATCCTGTCTTATATATACAATAATGCAACTGTCGAAATGCAAGTGTGACTATAATACAGAACTTTAAAAAAAGTTAAAACACAACTGTCATCCAGTGTGCAGGTTACTGGAATAGTTTTTGGGAACGTAGTGGAAATGATAATATACCAAGATAATTGGAACAGAAAGCAGTAGAAATAAACATACGCCGTACACAGAAACCGCAAGCTTTGGAATTAACACATAGAGTTGAGTAGTTCAAGGTTTGCGATTCCCTTTATCGACCTACCTAATTTCACATTTGCTTTGTCCCTAAACCAAGGGGAGTTGTTTTAACCTAACCTGTGTCACGTTATAATTTTATTTTATGCTATACTGTTAATTAGTCTCAAGAAAATTACATATAATTTAACTATTAGCCTAGAAACCCCGTCGCTTAGGTTTCCCGATGTGGGTTTCAACATGACCGAGTAATAACAAAGTATACAGTGCTATTTGCATTGTCCTGTTTTGTGACGTACGGGTAAAGAGTTTAATATATGTGTTTATCTTAACTGAAGTGCAATGTAAGCAGAGCCTTTTTACCTAATGCTAAAATCCAGCACTTCACTCCAACTTTATCTTAGACTATCTTCCTAATTGCCTCCGAAACAAACAGTGCACATTCAAACTAATCAATTTCCATCAGTTACTCTCCTCGGATAACGCGAAATTGTTTTGTTGTTAGACAACAAATGACAAATCTTATGAATCTGGTTTCGAATCCCAGTCGAATCTTATAGAATAATTGTAAGAGAAATTATTGGTCTCTTTACTAATCGCAGTCTATACACAAACGTATTTAAAATGTTGTTGTTAAAATTTATATAACACTATAACATCTGTAGTATAAAATATTACAATAAGTTATATTATGTTATATTATGGCGCTTTTATAATATAACTTATTGTAATATTTTATACTACAGATGTTATAGTGTTATATAAATTTTAACAACAACATTTTAAATACGTTTGTGTATAGACTGCGATAATAAATATATATTCGATTTCAACACAAACATGACGCACTTAAGCTACAAACTAAAAATATTTATTCGGAAATGTTAAGTTACCATAGTACGCCATGTATTCGAATAATATTGATACTTAAATGCCCATAAATGAATATCGACGTCAGAGATTAGGTATTAGAAGTGTTGTACAATCGGGGTTGTGTTATCCGTGCCAGAGAGTCTGTTTACCACTGGTCATGTTCGGGTCTCAGGTTAGGCATTGACTAAGGCAAGTTGGCATCATCACACTACCAGGATAGATGTAGAGTATGCTTGTATGAGGAGAGGTAGGACAGAAGATAAAACAAAAGACTATCATTCGCGTTCTTTGGAAAAAGGAATTCTGATCACGAAATGACATGCTTTTCGTACGGAAGGGAATCATGCGAGAAGTTAAGACGTCAGGGAATTTTACTGACGAAATATCGAATAAAAATTTCCTTGGATAATATCCATCGTCTAGTAAATATAAAACGTAAAACGACGTTTCGGAGATAGGGATTAGCTCTATCTAGTGGGCCCAACTGTGTAGGAACCTGAAGACGGAGATAGAGTCCCATCTCCGAAACGTCGTTTTACGTTTTATATTTACTAGACGATGGATAATATCCAAGAAAATTTTTATTCAATTGACTCTTCACCATCGTCAAGAACTTTTAGATCTGATATATCCTACTTTATCAGGAAGGGCTCTGCTCCGTGGTTAGTTAGTATTGGATAGCACTAAGCTTACTTCTCAATTAATACAAGAAGCGCTTCAGGGAATTTGAGCGCCAGGCTGCCAACCCTTCAACGTAAAATGTTCCGTGTTATGGACCTTGCAGAAAGGCCTAGCACTGCGTCATTGCTGTAGCTAAGTGGAAGCCCACGTCTCTCTGGGGCGCTTACGTGACCTATTTAGACATCGGCAGGCCCCCCTAGACGAGTAATCAGCCCGTCGCAAGGCCTATAACTATGCAGGTCAGCACAACAAAGAAAGACGCGGACAAACATCCATGCCTTGAATGGGATTCGAACTCACGGCCCCACTGTGACTGATAGATAATGCACGAAGTCCGGTTTAATTGTTTATCCTCAGACTGCATATCAGAAACGGAATGTACATGAAATTTGTGGTTTAAAGAAAATTTTAAAAGTTCGATTTGACACGGGCAGTTCCTTGTTATTAAGCAGTCAAGAACTCGTTTCACCAGCGTCTACAAACTTTCACATACTTAATCAACACGAACAACCCGTTGGAAAGCTCTTGTCTTCCTGAGCATCCGTTCTGATTGCAGTGGCAATGAATGTAGGACGTGTGTAGCACATGAATAACAGACGACATGTATGAAGGGTTCTTCCAAACAAAGAACAACCAAGCGTTTCAAACGCTCTAACATCGGCGTATTTAATAGATTAATTTGGATGTGAAAGTTTCGCTTTGTCTGGACGTCAGTAGAATTCTACATAAACATATTTCAAGAGCCTTGGACTATTTCACACAATAATTGTCTTTGGATTACATTTTAAAACAGGGACAAAATGCAGATGAAATCTTGAGAAGCTTAGAAATTTGCCGCCTTCTATAAAACCAGAAGATTTATTATCCACCACTGGACTCTACCTTGAGCCAGATAAATCCAGTGAACTTCACGCCAAATTTCTTCAAGATCCGTTTGGTATTACCCTTCCACTTACACTAGGCCTCCAGCTTCGCAGTTAAAAGATCTTAGAAGCGGAGATGTTGACAAACTTATAGCCACTATCGTAATGTGAACTTCCAGACCTTGGCAGTAACTTTTTCTTTGTGGGTCTCGCCACATCTTCACAAGTCAATTGTCCCGTAAAATATGTATAGTCCCGCCTCCGTGGTACATGGCAGTAGCTTACGCGTGAGTAATCAGCTCAGATTCCTATCTTATACTTGAAACTGTACAAGAGGCGGCTTTAATAAAATTGTTAATTTACATTCGACACTTATTGCAGATAGGCGAATTCGTATTGAAAATAAATTGTCTCTAAGAAATATGCAAACTGCTCATGAGGATATAACGTCCTCAAGACTTAATACTGCCCCAGACTTATTTGTTCAAAACATTTTATGTACGGACGGATTAACCAACATCTCATATATTATATCAGAAACAGAATTTTGCCCTCAAAGCGGTAAATAAGAAACATATAGGCCACTAATACCGTAAATGATACTAAGTCTGTAAATGCAGTGTGAAATTTCTTACGTAACAAACGGGAAAAAACATTAACTTTCTTCACTCGCCGATGCGATGGAAAGAAACTGGAAAAACAAGTACAGAAGAAAATACCTTTATATTCATCATCTCATCGAAGATCTAGAAATGTCCATGAGAAACGGATGCAAAGATATCAGACACCCCCCCCCCCCACACACAC